CACGCCCAGACACACTGTGTATATGTTTCCCTTTTGCTCCTTAAGAAATTTAGCTAAGTTTGTCTCCAGTGGTAAAAACAAAATATTTATTTATTTGTTTGTTTATTTTGAGACACAGTCTCGCTCAGTTGCCCAGGCTGGAGTGCAGTGGCCTGATCTTGGCTCACTGCAACCTCTGCCTCTTGTGTTCAAACAATTCTCCTACCTCAGCCTCACGAGTAGCTGAAATTATAAGCACCTGCATCGACGTCCGGCTAGTTTTTGTAATTTTAGTAGACACAGCGTTTTACCATCTTGGCCAGGCTGGTCTCCAACTCATGACCTCAGGTGATCTGCATGCCTTGGTTTTCTCAAGTGCTGAGATTACATCTATCAGCCACAGCACCGTGCTTAAAATAAAATATTTCTTAATAAAAGCAAACTTAAGTTTATCTCCCTCCCTCAGTTCCTGAACTTTGAGCTACCCTTAGTCTGGGTCAACATGCAGCCCCATTTTACCTCCCTCCTAAGAACCTGGTGACTTCAGGGAAAGACATCCTCTGATTTAAAATCTGACTTTTTCACCCTCCATTTGCTATTCCCCTCCCACCTCCTTCCTAATCCTAATCTTGTTTGCTACTCCCTAGGGAAGAAAGCCCTTTTCTGCCTTCATTTTTGCAAGCCATAAAGATCTTACAGCTAATTGGTACTTCCTCCTGTTGAAATAGTTTTTTTTTTGAGATGGAGTTTCGCTGTTCTTATTCAGACTGGAGTGCAATGGCACGATCTCGGCTCACCGCAACCTCCGCCTCCTGGGTTCAAGCACTTCTCCTGCCTCGACCACCCAAGTAGCTGGGACTACAGGCACGCACCACCATGCCCAGCTAATTTTTTGTGTTTTTATTAGAGACGGGGTTTCACCTTGTTGACCAGGATGGTCGCGATCTCTTGACCTCGTAATCCACCCACCTCGGCCTCCCAAAGTGTTGGGATTACAGGCGTGAGTCACCATGCTCAGCCCAAAATCTGAAATTTCTTGGGTGAAAAATACATCTGCAGTATTCTTCTTTTTTTTTTTTTTTTTTTTGAGACAGAGTTTCAATCTTATTGCCCAGACTGGAGTGCAATGGCACTATCTCAGCTCACCTCAATCTTCATCCCCTGGGTTCAAGTGATTCTCTTGCCTCAGTCTTCCAAGTAGCAGAGATTAAAGGCACACACCACCACACCCAGCTAATTTTGTATTTTTAATAGAGATGGGGTTTCTCCCTGTTGGTCAGGCTGGTCTTGAACTCGCAACTGCAGGTGATCCACCAACCTTGGCCTCCCAAAGTGCTGGGATTACAGACATGAGCCACTGCGCCTGGCCATCTGCAGGGCTCTAATGAGACCAGGTGCTGCTTGTTCAGTATCTCAAGCCCAGAAAGATGAATTAATCCCTGAAGAAAATTACATTGAGCTTGTTTGAAATTCAGTGGCTTTGATTCAGCAAGGCACAGCAGTTAAAAACAAGGATGACCAGAAATTTTTGGTTGGTATCTACATCTTTGTAAAAGGAACTGCTCAGCCGGCTGATGAATACAATCTAAGAGTTGTCCATCTACAGAAACAAGATGCCAGATGATTCCTAAGACCTACTTGTGATATTTAAATGATGCAAAAAAAGACCTATTGATTTGGAAAAGAAAAGGAGGGGGGAGCCCGGAAGGCTACAAACATCAATAAAGTCTCTGAGGTTACTCAAGGAAAAAAAAGAAAAGCCCAGCACAGTTCTATAAGAGGCTGCTTGATGTTTATCACATGTATCCTTCTTTCTATCCTGAGAGCTCCAAAAACCAAGGCATGGGAAATATGGCATTAGTCAGTCAGTGTTCAGAAGACATTGGGAGAAAAGTGCAGAAACGGGCAGGATTTTCAAGCATGAGTACCTCACAGTTATGAGAAATAACTAACCAGGGGTTTGTGAACAGAGACGTGCTAAGCCGTAAAGAAATGCATAGAGAAAATGAGCATTAGGCTTGATGAAACACTGACTTGATAGCTACCACTATTACAGGATTACCCCCAAAAGGGCAAGGAAAGGGGGACTCCTGGAAAGGTATACAGTGTAATCATCTGCATCTGCAGCATGTCCAATGTGCTTACTATAAGGAAGTGGGACACTGGAAGGACAAGTGCCCCCAGTTGACAGAAAAACAAGGTGATCTTAAGCAGGAGGCTTCAGACCAAGGTGAAGGAGCTCTGTTCAATCTAATAGAAGGGCCACTGGACTGAAGGGGGCTGGGCTCCTTTGCCCCCAAAGAGTCCATGGTCTGGATGACAGTCCTGTAATGCCCCTATCGAAGGAAACAACTAATATCGTTGGAGCTACTGGGGTGTCAGAGCAACAGTCTTTCTGTTCTCCTTGGACCTGCACAGTGGGAAGCCATGAGGTTATATATCATTTCTCGAACAAGATGGATTGTCCCCTGCCCGCCTTGAGAAAGTCCTGCTATGCAAAGTGAGAGCTACTACTATCACCTTCACTGATACAACTCCCTGCAGCTAAAACTGCCTCAAGCATGGATTATCATGGCTCTCACAGTCCCTTGGGAGGAGGGGTGGAGACTCTTCCTAACTGAACCAGGACAAAAATTAACCCCTTGCTCTACCCACGCAATAGCCACAGGTACACACAGAGGACAATCCACCAGGACCGGCAATCAACCAAGCCCCTGTACTCATTAAAAATCAAGCCTGTGGTTCAGCCAGGTAGGCAAAAGCAATATCCAGTTACCTAAGAGGCCCTAAAAAGCATTCAGGTCCACCTAAAATGCTTAAAAGACTATGGAAGGCAGGGTGTGGTGGCTCACGCCTATAATCTCAGCATTTTGGGAGGCTGGATCACGAGGTCAAGAGTGTGTGGATCATGAGGTCAAGAGATCAAGACCATCCTGGTCAACAAGGTGAAACCCCATCTCTACTAAAAATACAAAAATTAGCTGGGCATGGTGGCACGTGCCTGTAGTCCCAGCTACTCAGGAGGCAGAGGCAGGAAAATTGCCTGAACCCAGGAGGCGGAGGTTGCGGTGAGCCGAGATTGTGCCATTGCACTCCAGTCTGGGTAACAACAGTGAAACTCCGTCTCAAAAAAGAAAAAAAAACAACTATGGAATTACACTTCCTTACCAGTCTCCATGGAACCCCCACCTCACTCCCCACTGCTAGTCTGTTCCTAAACCAGTGAGTGAAGACCGCAGGCCAGTGCAGGAAAATGCATATGGTTAATCAGACTACAGTGACTTTGTGCCCACTTGAACCCAGCCCATACACACGGTTGGGATTATTGCCAGCAGAGGATAGTTGGTTCACTTGCTTGGACTTAAAAAATGCTTTCTTTAGCGTTGGACTGGCCTCAGAGGATCAGAAACTATCTGCGTTTCAATGGGAGAATCCAGAAACAGGTGTGACCACCCAGTACAACTGGACCCGGCTTCTCCAGGGGTTCAAGAACTCTCCCAACATCTTTGCGAATGCACTAGTCCTGTGACCTCCAAATGGTTCTTGCTAAGGACTTAGGCTGCATGCTGGTCCAACAAGCTGGTGACCTTTTATTGGGACACCCCCAGGTCAATCAGGTGCACTAAATAAACAGATGCCTTACTTTGGCACCTGGAGGACTGTGGGAATAAGTATCTAAATAGAAAGCCTGGATTTGCCAACAAGTGCAGTATCTGGGGTTCACGATCCAGCAGGGAAACGGAAGTCTAGGAGCAGGGAGGAAACAAATCATTTTCAACCTGCCAGAACCCAAAATTAAAAGGCAGATGAGAGAGCTCCTGGAAGCTGTGGGTTTCTGTAAATTTCGGATTCCAAACTTCGTAGTATCGGCCAAACCCCTATACAAAGTGGCAAGGTGGGGAGAGACAAGAGAGCCTTTGAATGGGGATTCCAACAGTGGCAGGCCTATCAGAAACTAAAGGCACAACTTTTGTCAGCCCCAGCCTTGGGGTCACCTGATTTAACAAAGCTTCTCATGCTGTATGTGTCAGAAAGGGTGTTGGGGTCCGGCACATCTGCTGGGGGGCTACAGACCTGTGGGAGTCCCCGAGACCGCCAACGTACATGTCTCATTCAACCTAAGTGAGAAAGTGCGTGGAAGTGAAAGAAAATAGTTAAGTGGAGTCTGGAGGTCTGCGTGACTTATGGTCAAAACGCAGCAAATTTATTTTTGTGCATTACAGCTTCCGTACGTTTTTTCTTGTTACATTTACATTTACTTAATCGCAGCAGAAAAAGGGGTAAACAGAAAGGAAATAAAAACTCCACAAAAATAGTTATCAGGGGCCTGTGGTAACTGCTCACAAAGTAGTTCAAGGGGGCTTTCGATAATAGTCTACAAAGCAGTTTGTTTTTCAAAGATACCCAGTGCAAACAAACAATGGCGCCTTCAAGGTGGCTTGTTAAACTTGTTTTCCATCAGGAGTTAGATCAAAGGCTTAGCTCCAGGGAAAACATGGGCAGGGGTCTCTGCACCTCTGAAGCATCTCAATTGCAGCAAGTTTTATTGCTTACACAGAGACTGATGGGGACATGAAAGCAGACAGCACAATGTCCTCATAAACTGCAGACCTTTGATTTGCATTCTGTTTTTGCCTCAGTGACTCAGCCCGTGGCCTTTGTCTCAGCTCGACAGCCCTCAAGATGGGGGAGTGCAGATAGGTCCAGCAGCCAAGATGGGGCAAGTCACTCTAACTGTTTCAAGCCCTTGGCCCAAACACCACACAAAAGGGAAAAAATGGCAGTTAAAGTTCTAACACCAATTCTGAAGCAATATTTAAATATCAAAGCAAACCACACAGGAGTGACTCTAACAAATACCAAAGGACATCATTGGTTAAAAAATGCTACGATACCTGGGCGCAGTGGCTCAAGCCTGTAATCCCAGCACTTTGGGAGGCTGAGGCAGGTGGATCATGAAGTCAAGAGATCGAGACCATCCTGGTCAACATGGTGAAACCCCGTCTCTACTAAAAATACAAAAAAAAAATTAGCTGGGCATGGTGGCACATGCCTGTAATCCCAGCTACTCGGGAGGCTGAGGCAGGAGAATTGCCTGAACCCAGGAGGCGAAGGTTGGAGTGAGCCGAGATTGCGCCATTGCACTCCAGCATAGGTAACAAGAGTGAAACTCCATCTCAAAAAAAAACAAAAAACAAAAAACCACAAGTATTTTGGACAGGAGTGGTGGCTCTCACCTGTAATCCCAGCACATTGAAAGTCCAAACAAGGTAGATAACCTGAGGTAGGGAGTTTGAGACTAGCCTGACCAATGTGGAGAAATCCTGTCTCTATTAAAAATACAAAATTAGCTGGAGATGGTGGTGCATGCCTGTAATCCCTGCTATTCAGGAGGCTGTGGCACGAGAATCACTTGAACTTGGGAGCCAGTAGGAGCATTGAGCCAAGGTAGCACGGTTGCACTCCAGCCTGGGCAACAAGAGCAAAACTCCATCTCAAAAAAAAAACAAAACAATAACAGGTATTGTTGTCTTTCAGCCAGACTAATCACCTGTCTGGAGCAAGGAAAAAAACCTTAGACTATAAAGAGACATGAGATGATTGCCAAGTCTTCAGGTGGTGCAAGTAAAAGAAAGATGCCAGATAACAAAGATAAAAGGTCCCAAGATCAAAGAGAAAGCCAATCCCTAAAATGAGATTTGGGAAGCTCTGTTCGAAAGGATTCTTTCCTGGGCAGATGGGATTTTTGTCTATTTTTAATTTTGTTCTCACAAAGAGGCATCTCCTATCTTATGTTTTTAAGTTCTCTAAAAATTCTACTTTTCTTTCAGTGGGATTCCTTCAAGTCCACGGTGAACTCCAAAGTCCTCTTCATGACATTCAGACTGCACAATCTGGCTGTTTTTCCATTGTTTTGGGGACACACAAATATCTGCATGATTTGGAGAAACTAAAACTATTTTTTAAGTTCTCGTTTTGCATCAGTTATGAAATGTGAGAGTAGTACTTCCTGTTGCATTTTTCTGTTTATTTCTTGCAGTCTGTTCTGTTTCATTACTATGTAGTCTTGAAATATAGTTTGACATCGTAAGTATGGTAGCCTTCTGCTTTGTCTTTTTCCTCAAGATTGCTTTGCTGAATCAAAATTTATTTTAGTTTCATGTAAATTTTAGATTTTTTTTTACATTACTGTCAAATAAATACCACAGCACTTTTGATAGAAAGTTTATTGAATTTTTTTGAGATGGAATCTTACTCTGTTGCCCAAGCTGGTGTGAAGAGGCATGACCTCAGCTCACTGAAACCTCTGTCTCCCGGGTTCCAGCAATTCTTCTGCCTCAGCCTGCTGAGTAGCTGGGATTCTAGTTGCATGCCACCACACCCAACTATTTTTCTTTTGTTTTTAGTAGAGACAGGGTTTCACCATGTTGGTCAGGCTGACTTCGAACACTTGACCTCATGATCCACCTGCCTCAGCCTCCCAAAATGTGTGGATTACAGGCGTGAGCCACCAAGCCCAGCAAGTAACATAATTTCATGAGTGATTTCCCAGCACAGTCACACATTTTCTTTTCTTTTCTTTTTTTAGAGACGGAGTTTCGCTCTTGTTACCCAGGCTGGAGTGCAATGGCACGATCTCGGCTCACCACAACCTCCACCTCCTGGGTTCAGGCAATTCTCCTGCCTCAGCCTCCTGAGTAGCTGGGATTACAGGCACACACGACCATACCCAGCTAATTTTTTTGTATTTTTAGTAGAGACGGGGTTTCACCATGTTGACCAGGATGGTCTCGATCTCTTGACCTTGTGATCCACCCACCTCGGCTTCCCAAAGTGCTGGTATTACAGGCTTCAGCTACTGCACCCCGTCGGTATATTTTCTTACACTCAAGAGGAAAGCATTAGACAGCAGGTGTGCAACAGACAGGGAATCCAGAGTATTATCATAGAATGTTGCCAACCCACCAGAACAAACTTTTAATATAGACTCTGCTACTGTTGTTATCTACATAAACAAAGATATAATCTGCAAACAATAACTACTTTCCATTTTATTCATTAAAAATATTAACTTTCCCTTATCTTTTCCTTATGTACAATTTTATACATTCACACACACATAGAACATTAAAAATATATCCAATAATTCAATTTTGCTTAAATTATTAAAATACGTGTTAAAAATAATTTTCTTTGTTTGAAGAGGCCTTTTATTGTTGTACTTCAGAGTGTTATTTCTGTAGATAATGTTGCCTGTGCTTTAAGAGGCAGGTGCTGGGGAGCATCCGAAATATATTTCATTAAATTTTACATTAATAAATTCAATAAAAAGTAGAAAGAATAGATTGTTTCAGCATTTGCAAGGTGTTTAGTTTTCTATTAGTCACCTAATTAAAATAACGTGTTTTGTTCCAATAATTGTGTTTCTTAAAATATGTACAAACTCCAATTCACACACACACTTCATTTCTTACACCTAAGGTTTATCTTCACTATGAATCCTCTTATGTGCAATAACATGTGCAGTCCGCTTCAAAGCTTTTCCACAATCTTCACATCTGTAGGGTTTCTCTCCAGTATTAATTTTCTTATCTGCAATTAACGTGTGCAGCCTGCTTGACAGCTTTTTCCACAATCTTCACATCTGTAGGGTTTCTCTCCAGTATGAATTTTCTTATGTGCAATAACGTGTGCAGCCTGCTTGACAGCTTTTTCCACAATCTTCACATCAGTAGGGTTTCTCTCCAGCGTGAATTTTCTTATGTCTAATAAGGTTAGAGGAAACTGAAAAGGCTTTCCCACATTCTTCACATCTGTAGGGTTTCTCTCCAGTATGAATTTTCTTATGTCTAATAAGGTTAGAGGAACGTGAAAAGGCTTTCCCACATTCTTCACATCTGTAGGGTTTCTCTCCAGTATGAAGTTTCTTATGTGCAATAATGTTTTTGGCCTGCTTGAAAGCTTTTCCACAATCTTCACATCTGTATGGTTTCTCTCCAGTATGAATTGTCTTATGTCTAATAAGCCTAGAGGATTTCGTAAAGGCTTTCCCACATTCTTCACATCTGTAGGATTTCTCTCCAGTATGAATTGTCTTATGTCTAATAAGCCTAGAGGATTTCATAAAGGCTTTCCCACATTCTTCACATCTGTAGGGTTTCTCTCCAGTATGAATTGTCTTATGTCTAATAAGCCTAGAGGATTTCATAAAGGCTTTCCCACATTCTTCACATCTGTAGGGTTTCTCTCCCGTATAAACGTTAAGTGTACTAAGGCTTACAGATTTGGTAAAAGCTTTGCCACATTCTTCATATCTGTAGGGTTTCTCTGCAGTATGAATTTTCTTATGTGCAATAAGGTTCGAGGACTTCTTAAAGACTTTGCCACATTCTTCACATCTGTAGGGTTTCTCTCTAGTATGAATTTTCTTATGTGCAATGACATGTGCAGCCCGCTTGAAAGCTTTCCCACAATCGTCACATCTGTAGGGTTTCTCTCCAGTATGAATTTTCTTATGTCTAATAAGGTTAGAGGAATTCGTAAAGGCTTTCCCACATTCTTCACATCTGTAGGGTTTCTCTCCAGTATGAATTTTCTTATGTGCAATAATGTATGCAGTGTGCTTGAAAGCTTTTCCACAGTCTTCACATTTGTAGGGTTTCTCTTCAGTATGAGTTTTCTTATGTTTCGTAAGGATAGAGGAAGTTGTAAAGGCTTTCGCACATTCTTCACATCTATAGGGTTTCTCTCCAGTATGAATTTTCTTATGTTTCTTCAGGATAGAGGAAGTTGTAAAGGCTTTTGCACATTCTTCACATCTGTAGGGTTTCTCTCCAGTATGAATTTTCTTATGTGCAATAACGTGTGCAGCCTGCTTGAAAGCTTTTCCACAATCTTCACATCTGTAGGGTTTCTCTCCAGTATGAATTTTCTTATGTGTACTAAGGTTAGAGGATTTCATAAAGGCTTTCCCACATTCTTCACATCTGTAGGGTTTCTCTCCAGTAAGAACTTTCTTATGTGTACTAAGGTTTACAAATTGGGTAGAAGGTTTGCCAGATTCTTCACATCTGTAGGGTTTCTCTCCAATATGAATTCTCTTATGTGCAGAAAGGTTTGAGGAGTGCATAAACTCTTTGCCACATTCTTCACATTTGTAGGGTTTTACTTCAGTGTGAATTCTCTTATGTGCACTAAGGGTTTCCGATTGCTTAAAAGCTTGGCCACATTGCTCACATCTATAGAGTTTCTCTCCAGTATGAATACTCTTATGTGTAGTAACGTAAAAAGACTTCTTAAAGGCTTTTTCACATTCTTCCCATTTATAGGGTTTCTCTGCAGTATGAATTATCTTATGTTGAGAAAGGTTTGAGGACTGCTTAAAGACTTTGCCACGTTCTTCAAATCTGTACGGTTTCTCTTCAGTATGAATTTTCTTATGGGTAGTAAGGGTTAAGGACCGGATAATAGCTTTGCCACATTCTATATATGTGAAAAATTTTTTTCCAATATGTCTTATCTTATGTCTGTTGGAATTTGAAAACTTATTAAAGATTTTCACATATTTATCACATTGAAATACTGTTCTCTGGGTACTTGTCAAATTTTGGTTAAGTCCATTATAAACCGCTTGCTGCATATGACACTCATTCACACATTCACAGCTGTTATTTAACTGTAAATTGTCATGTTCACATTTTTCATATTTTCTCAGTATCATTTTTTGGAAAGAATCTTTAATCCCCTGCTCTGGCCAAAGGTCTTGGGCAAAATGAGAATGCATAACTAAAAGAAACAATAAAAACACATTACTTCAATTGCTAGGCTCAGATAAGTACACTTTACAAATCTAACATATAAAATTATACAAACTACAGAAGCGAGATGTCATAGTAAAATACTACAGGCTGTAATTTCTTCCTGGACGTATAAATGTAACAAAAACATACTGACCAAAATCCATTTGTAAAATATTTATAAGTGTGTTAAGTGTGGGAAGGACCCCAGGTGAGCCCAGTGCAAAGAGCCACATAGAAGAAACAGAAAAGTCTATTTCTTACACCCAACACAGGTGCTCCTCCTCTTCAGTATAACATTGTGCCTTTAAAAGTAAATTGCCAGCTGGGTACGGGGGCTCATGCCTATAATCCCAGCACTTTGGGAGGGTGACGGGGTGGATCACGAGGTGAGAAGTTGATGATCAACCTGTTGAAGATGGTGAAACCCCATCTGTACTAAAAATACAAAACATTAGCTGGGCATGCTTGTGGCACCTGTAATCCTGGCTACTCAGGAGGCTGAGGCAGAGAATTGCTGGAGCCTGGGAGGCAGAGGTTTCGGTGAGCTCAGATCATGCCACATGCAGCCTGGGTGGCACAGTAAGACTTCACGTTAAAAAACAAACAAACAAACAAACAAATCAAAAACCAGTAAAGTAAATTGCCAGAAAGGAATGATGTCTTATGCCTGTAATCTCAGCACGTCGGATAAACAAGACATGTCGATTACCTGAAGTCAGCAGTTTGAGACTAGCCTGACCATCTGGGTGGAATCCCATATCTAATGAAACTACAAAAAATTAGCCAGGTGTGGTAACAGGTATCTGTAATGCTAACTATTTGGGCTGAGGCAGGAGAATTGCTTGAACTGTGGAGGCAGAGACTGTAGTGAGCCAACATCATTTCACTGGACTTCAGTTTAGGTAACAGAGTGAGACTGTGTCACTCACACACACACACACAAAAATTTAGATTGCCAACTACTGGTTTCTTTTTAAAAAAAAAAAGAAATATATTGGCACATACATCTTTATTTCTCACTTCTAGGGGCCTCTGTAGACTTTGGTTAATGTCTCCCATGACATAAAATGCTGAAAGAAATCATGATATACATTGAAATGACAGTTTGAGTTCACTGAGTCTAAAAATAAATGATACAGAAGCAGAGAAAATGCAGTCCCCCGAACAGGAAATGGGTGTAGCAAGTAATGACTGATTATTAAGTATGAATAAGCCAATTTAACTAAAAACAAAACACAACATTTTGGATAAGACACATCCTAAAAGCATGTTAAATAATTTCCTAGAATGTCTAGCCAGGACAATTGTTTTCAGACTACACCAAGACAATACTGTATTATAAAGATCGGAAGAGGTAGTTTTTGTTAATGTCGAAATCTCAATCAAACACTACAATGTATGCAAAATGGCCCATCAAAAAAAGTATAAATTTTTCAAAAGCAACCATAAAAAGCATATAAAGTACTTTTTTTCTTTTGAGACAGTCTTCCTCTGTTGCCCAAGCTGGTGTACAGTGGTGTGATCCCAGCTCACTGAAACCTCTACCTCCCAGGTTCAAGTGATTTTCCTGTCTCAACCTCCCAAGTACCTGAGATTACAAGTGTATATCACCACCCCCGGCTAATTTTTTTTTGTAGTTTTTGGTAGAGACGAGGATTCACTGTCTTGACCAGGCTGGTATTGAACTCCTGACTTCATGATCCACTCACCTCAGCCTCCCAAAGTGCTAGGAATACAGGTGTGAGCCACTGTGCCTGGACCAGTAATTTAAAAAATTCCAAAGAAATTGAACAGCCAAGGCTTGTTGGCTTATTCCTGGAATCCCAACACACTGGGAGGCCAAGGTGGGAAAATAACGTGAAGGCAGGAGTTTGAGACCAGCCTGAGGCTGGGTGCAGTGTCTCACATGTGTAATCTCAGCATTTTAGGCTGAGGCAGGCGGATGACCTGAGGTCAGGACTTTGAGACCAGACTGATCAACATAGAAATACCCCGTCTCTACTAAAAATGCAAAATTTAGCTGGGCATACTGGTTGATGCCTTTAATCACAGCTTCTCAGGAGGCTGAGGCAGGAGAATCACTTCTAGGAGGCAGAGTTGCAGTGAGCGAAGATCACACCACTGCACTCCAGCCTGAGCAACAAGAGTGAAACTGCATCTCAATAAAAAAAAAAAGAGAGAGAGACCAGCCTAGCCAACATGGTGAAACCCTGTGTCTACTAAAAATACAAATATTAGCAGGGTGTGGTGGCATGTGGCTATAATCCCAGCTACGTGGGAGACTGACACAAGAGAATTCCTTAAACCCGGTAGGGAAAGGTTGCAGTGAGTAGAGATTATACCACTGCACTGCAACCTGGGAAACAGAGCAAGACTATCTCAAATATAACATAAAATAGGCTGGGCACGGTGGTTCACGCTTGTAATCCCAGCACTTTGAGAGGCAGAGGTGGGTAGATCATTTGAGCTCTAGATTTCAAAATCAGCCTGGTCAATGTGGTGAAACTCGTCTCTTACTAAAAATAAGTAAAATTAGCCAGGCTAGTTGCGGGCACCTTTTCCCAGCTAGTTGGGAGGCTGAGATTAAACAATGCCTTGAACCTGAGAGGAGGAAATTGCAGTGAGCCTAGATCACACCACTGAACTCCAGCCCGGGTGACAGAAAGTCTCCAATTCAGAAAAACTAATAAATAAATAAAATTGAATAATATTGACGAAGTGAAATAAAAACAGGGACAACTACCAAACATCAGAAAAAGGAGGATAACAACAAGAAATATTAAAATAGCAAAAAACAAAAACAGTGGATATACAAAATACAAAAAATAATTGAAAAACTTCTTAAGAAAAAAAACGGGCTGGGCACAGTGGCTCACACTTCTAATCCGAGCTCTTTTGGAGGCCGAGGTGGGCAGATCATGAGGTTAAGAGACAGAGACCATCCTGGCCAACACAGTGAAAACTGGTTTGACTAAAAATACAGATACAAAAAATTAGGCCGGGCGCGGTGGCTCAAGCCTGTAATCCCAGCACTTTGGGAGGTCAAGGCGGGTGGATCACGAGGTCAAGAGATCGAGACAATCCTGGTCAACAAGGTGAAACACCGTCTCTATTAAAAATACAAAAACTAATTGGGCATGGTGGCACATGCCTATATACCCAGCTACTCAGGAGGCTGAGGCAGAAGAATTGCCTGAACCCAGGAGGCGGAGGTTGCGGTGAGCCGAGATCGTGCCATTGCACTCCAGCCTGGGTAACAAGAGCGAAACTCTGTCTCAAAAAAAAAAAAAAATCGCCAGGTGTGGGGGCACCCGCCTGTAGTTCCAGCTACTTGGGAGGGTGAGGCATTAGAATCGTTTGAACATGGGAGGGGAAGGTTGTGGCAAGCTGAGATCATGCTATTGCATTCGATACACAGATATTTACATCAAACACATGTAGTAGTGAAATTTCAAAAATGATAGATAAGCAAATTTGGGGAGGTGCAAAATGAACATGATCTTTCATTTATAAGCATAGTCTCATGAGGTAACCAGTGCATTTATCAAAAAATTGTTTGCAGGTCAGAAGGAAACTGTGTGATGTTGTTAAAGTTATAATTTTTTTTAAAAGTTCTCAGGTGGGAAAAATATCATCAGCAAAATTTTGCTACCAAATAATAAGAAATCCTTCAAAATAACCACATCCTGAGGAAGTATATTGGCACTGCATATGCTCTATATATCAAAGATGCTGAAAGGAGTTTCTTTCACTGAAAATAGTATAGCAAGAAAACAACACAAAATCATATGAAAATATACAACTTTCTGGAAAAGATAATGCACATACACAAAAAATACAATTTCCTACTTAACATTATTATAATAGTGCAGAATATAATTTTAATTATTCTCTAAAATTTAAAAGCGGAGACTATAGATATTATTATAAACATCTGTTAAGGAATATACAACATAAAAATATAATTAGCAAAATCAACAAACTTGAAGGCAGATATAATGATGAAGAACTTTTGTATGAAAATGAAGTTAAATTTACCACATTCAAATATATTCTTGGATCTTTTAGAAGTTTTATGTAATCCCCAGGTATTACTAAGAAAATACCTGGGTTGGCGCTGTGGCTTTCGCCTGCATTCCTAGAACTTTGGAGACCAAGGCAAGCAGATCATGAGGTCAGGAGTTCAAGACTACCCTGGCCAACATGGTAAACCCTGTCTCTACTAAAAATACAAAATTAGCTGGGCATGGTGGCACATGCCTGTAATCCCCAATACTCGGGAGATTGAGGCAGGAGAACTGATTGAACCCAGAAGGCAGAGGTTACATTGAGCTCAGATCTTGCCATTGTACTCCAAACTGGGCAAAAAGACCCCCCCCAAAATAAACAAAAAACCTGTTACAACAAACCTATATAATATATAGGCAAGTGACACAAAAATACAGATATAATATTTATATAGGCAAACAAACACAAAAATATATTTTCAATAGACATGAGACATGTCTTTTTCATATTTAATTTTGCTCATGTCTTAAACTGTACAGTTAAATATTGTCATATACATTTATAATGTAAACTAAAAATGAAAACACAATTAACTGGTGTGATGTGGCATACCAAAAAATATGTAACACTAAAATATAAAATTGGAAAACAAAATTAAAACATGAAATGTAGGTAGAGTACAATGGCCCACACCTGTAATCCCAGCACTGTGGGAGGCCGAGGTGGGTGGATCACTTGAGGTGGTAAGTTCAAAATCAGCCTGGTCAACATAGTGAAAATCCCTGTCTACTAAAAATACAGGCTGGGCATGGTGGCTCATGCCTGTAATCCAAGCACTTTGGAGGCCAAGGCAGGTGGATCACCTGAGGTTGGGGATTCAAGACCAGCCTGACCAACATGGTGAAACCCCATCTTTATACTAAAAAATTTAAGAAAAAGAAATAAAAATACAAAAATTACGTGGGTATAGTGCCAGGC